CTCTCACTCCCGAGCGAAGGTGGTACGCGTTTCCCCTCCCGCCGTGTAACGTAATTTATCGCGCGCCATGAACGCACCGAGAACGCCGGCGAGACCGGGGCAGGTCCGGCGGGCGCGCGAGGAAAGTAATTGCAATAATAAATTGAGGGCGAGATAATAATAAAGACTGCATGGGGGGGAATTTGGGCGTAAGACGAGGGAGATGTTACTTTCGGGCTTTGTTTATTCGTTCCGAGACTTCGTAAAGATAACGCGATCTCCCTCGACATTCCCGCCTTGCGGGAAAAATGGTTCCCGATGTCGCGAGAGCGACGCCGCGTGTGGGTGCCCCCTGTTGATTCTCGACCGTGATTTGAATTTCGCTATCTCAGCCTTATCGGGGCTCGGCTCGAGCCGATGAATAATGCATCCTCTCGTGGGCTAGCTCGCGACAGTCCGCGATCCCGAAAGGGCGTAACGCGTAGGAGTGCCCGGAAAGATGATCGGCGGTACCGAAGAATTCGCGCGGCGCGGATCACGCGCGCGTCTCGTTATCGTAAGCTTCTACAATGGACCCAAAACGCAAGAAATCAGCCAATGACAGTCGATCGTGTCTTCTCATATTTGACCGCGATTGGTCGATTGGTGCAAAACGCAAGACGCTAAGCCGCAGCGCAAGAAATCGACCAATCGCGGTCAAATAGGAGAAGAATGGTCGATTGTCATTTGGCCGATTTCTTGCGTTGCTGCTTGGCGTCTTGCATTTTGGGTCCATTGTAGAATAAGCTTTGAACCTTAATCGGTCGATGACAGTCGATCATTTTTCTCATATTTGTGATTGGTCGATTGGTCGTCTTGCGTTGTGGCTTAGCATCTTGCGTTTTGCGTCCATTGTAGAATAAGCTTTGAACCTTATTCTACAATGGACGCAAAACGCAAGATGCTAAGCCACAACGCAAGACGACCAATCGACCAATCACAAATATGAGAAAAATGATCGACTGTCATCGACCGATTTCTCGCGTTACGACTTAGTGTCTTGCGTCCATTGTAGAATAAGCTTTCAAGGAGGACGCGGCCGCAGCGAAACCGCGTACCGGTCTGGGTGGAGTTTCCCGCGGCGTTGTACCGCCTTTGACAAATACTTGGAAACAGGGTAGCAGCATGAGAACCCAAAGGGGAAAGAGGGAGGGTGAATCGCCGTTAGGAAGCGGGGGATCGCGCAGTGACGGACTCGGCGATATAATTAGCGTGTCGACGACGGTCTTAAATCTTATTTGAGCTTCGCTGCGGTCTCACTAAACTCCCCATTCGATTTGTCTTAAGTTAATTAAGTCTAACTTAGACTCTATCAAACTTAAGTCTAAGTCAGACTTAAATTAACTTAATTAACTAACTCTAATTATATAAGTTGTATTAAATCGGGAAATATATTCAGCTTAAATAGCTAGAGCTATCTCCAGTACCCTGCCGGAAATAATTCTACAAAATTCTACAAAACTATAAAATATAGCTGCCAGAATCTAAGAAATTCTACGTAAATTTAAAAAGTGTTATATAAATTACCATGAAAATGCCCGAATTGGAACAATACTGTTAATTTTTGTAATATTCTACAAGCAAGCAGATGTTTTAATTCTTTAAGATTTCGTTGTTTCTCAAATTTTTTAAACTAGTAAAGTTTCGTACTAATTTTTACAAAATTGTACATTTTCACAAAACACTTGCAATAATTTCTTGATTTGAAAACATTGTAATTTGTGGTACTATTTCGTAGATATTTTTACAAAAAAAAATAATGTTTCAACGAAGATATAAAAATTTCTATACAAATTTCTATTTCAAGTCAATTTTTGTAGTTATTTATAGAAAATTTTCCGCTAGGGCACGTAGCACAGTGCACGTGTCATTGTTAAAATTTATAAGCCCTTAGTATAGAACCAAGATCTCATTTTTGCAGCTCACCTACTTTATGTATTTTGCGGTGCAAAACTTTAACATACTGGATTGTTCTCGTCCCCAGTTTTCTTTAAATCGCGTTTAACCCCGTCGATTACATTGCTGTGGCGATAAATGCATTATAAAATCTTTTTGAAATTTACGTAAATACACTTCATCTCGAGACGAGAAATCAAAGCTTTACTGTCTTATCATGTTTCTTCGTATAATTACGTTTGAGAATAAAGACTTATCTTTCCACTGCTAATTATTATCTGCTTTATACACGTAAAGTTCATACAGCAATGATTTTAATTCTTACTAACAAGCCTTAATAAAATGTAACATATTTTTATATATAATCTTATGTATTACGCTTATATATCATCACTAATTCTCAGGCGAACCGCTTTATATAAATTCTACATAGAACAATTTCCACGAACGATGAAGCGGCGCAACATAATTTGAAAATTGGTTGCACGAAAAATGCCGTTTCACGCTAAGCCGCAACGGAAGAATTCGGCCAGTCGCGGTGAAATACGCGAAGAATGGTCGACTGTCATTGGCCGATTTCTCGCGTTGCTGCTTAGCGTTTTGCATTTTGCCGTTGCACGAAAAATCTCCGCCCCGAAATACATAAAAGAGAGCCTCGAAAGTAGATCACTCCTACATCTAAAATTGACCGGAACTAGTTACCTAACAATTCAGCAAAATCCCGTACAATTTCTACGCTTTATCAAATTCGCTTGCGATATCTTAAAAAGGGTATTCGCGGGGGGGCGCGAAACGCGTCGAGCCGCCACTGGCGGAGGCCGGTGGAAAGAGAAGGAGCGCGCACGGCCCATTTCCTCTCCACCGAGGAGGAGCCGCTCATCGAGCGCGGCCGGCGGCGGCCGCCACGTGTCCGGCCGGGCGTCTGATCCCGCTCGAGCATGTTTCCCTGCGAACGCAAGACTCGAGTGTGACCCGGCCTGGGGACATGGGCACGTCCTCAGCGAAGGTCAACGGACTTCTCCGCTGCTCCACCACGCCGTCCGCGGGGGCATACGCGTGGGTGTGCCACACGTGCGTACGTATGCACGTACGAGCCGTGCGTGCATGCGCGCGCGTGTGCATGCGCGCGGCGCCCGCCGGCGGTCCGCGCCGCGTCGCGTCGCTCCCGCGAGTGCGCGCGCCCCCGGACGCTATCGACGCGCGGCCGACGTCACCGCGGGCGAACGCGGGCGTCGAGGGGGACTCCGCCGACCAGCCGACGAGTCATGCTCCCCTGCTACGTTGCGCGACAGCTCGACATCTTGCGGTCCGCGCGGATTCCTTGCCGCGCGACGACGAGCGCGATCGCGACACCGCGGGACGCGGCGCCGCGAGACGCGTCTCTCCAGAGACGCTGCCTTGGCCTCCGAAGGAGAGATTTGCCGTGTTTTGCAACTTTCAGGCTGCACCCTTCGCACCTTTCGCACATGAAGTAAAATCAGTCGATTTGAGGGAGAGAGAGAGAGAGGGGGGGGGGGAGATAATTTGCAGGAAGATTTGAA